TTGTAGTCCAAACGAGTTGTTCGTTGTAGTTTTTGAAAAGTGATTTCTGTTAAATAAAATATCTCCTTTTGAATTGGACTTTGAGCTTTGTAACTTTGCAGATCTTTTTTATGCTCAAACAGCAACATTACAGACTAACTAAAGTTGAAAAAGTGAAAACGCATAATAGGACCCCTTTAATGGTAACTACATAGTTAAACATTTTTTTTTTACAAATTTGTCTGGCTTTAATGATAATTACTTACAATTATTTTATATGATTATATATGATTTATATAATTATTATATGATTTATTTTATTATTAATTCATTACACAAGCAATTTTAGTTGAACAATTATTATAGAGCATTCATTTTAACTTAATATTAATATATACAGATCATATGTTATATAAATAAGCTGTAGAATCAATAGATAACGCTTTAAAAATGACTAAATGTGACATGTTCAAGTCTCTATCGCTGTATATTATTAACTATCTAAACTTCACATGTGTCATTTTTGACTGCACTGATAGAGCAAGATCATTTCTTTTATTTTTCCTCTTTCATGGACAAGTACTTTCTTCAGTGTAAATGCGTTTAAATTCCTCATAATCTTCAATCTCTTAACCCTTAGCAAAAGAGTTTTGGATCTTGCTGCCTCTCTAGTGAGAAGTGAATCACACTTGCTCTGTGTTGCAAGGCATGTGATTGGCTGTTCGCCACTGATGTCACACATTCATCTGCATGTGCTCCACAAACCCAGGATCAAAGCCTGAGTTGACAAAGAAAGTTGATGATCAGCATCATGGTACCAAAAAAGCCAGATTGGAGTGGTTAGGTTTTGTCAACTCGAAACTAATCCTGTAACTCTGAATTTGTTCAACTACCATCATGGTACAGGCACCTGGTCATGTCCTTGACAGGTTTTGAGAGATTTATCCACAAAGGTCTCATTAATATGACTGCACAACTGAGTATCTTTTGAGTGAGAAAATCACATTGCTGCCTATCACTCAGATCCTGGGTTGAACAGCAATCAAAGTGTCTCAAGAAACATGATTGGCCACAAACAAAAAAAACTGGCTATGCACAATCACTACAGAATTCAGTTGCTGATGGCCTTGATCATCATGTTAATTACATTATACCTGTAATTGGTGGACAAGAGGAGACATCTGACTAATTTCATGTGCTTCAGAAGGTGTACACAAATGATTTGACCTTCTTAATTTCTGATGAATTTGTTCTATTATGATGATGAGTGAAAAGGAAAAGCAAACAAGATTTTACAAAGAGCTCAAGTTATATGAACTCCACAGGTTTGTGCAAATTGTAATGATCATGTTATGATCATGTTAAGGAGTTCACATGATCAGCGTTACAAATGTACTTATTCAATTAGTGACCTAGATACAATGCAGAATCGTAAATATTTCTTCTTTGTTTTACATCAAAGTTTCTTTGTTTTTATTTTTTCAAAATCCTAAAAAGTCCTGTTAATCTATAGGTTTGAATTAGATTTTTCTTCCTAGATTTTCAATGTGATTTCAGACTTGTGTGTTTGCCTGCAACATGTGTGTGCATACCTGCTCGATGCAAGGGGCTGCTGGACACTCTCCTAGACCTCCCTCTTCTTTGTGGAGACGGAGAGGCTGACGGCGAGAGAGACCGATCCGAGTGCAAGACATTTTCATAATCATCCGAGTAGAATGAGGCACTGCTACGCTCTCCATCCGAACACCGATCACGGTCTGGGTCTCCGGCCGGCTCTCGCGTTCTGGTTCGCACATGATCCCCAGCCGAGCTCTTGATGTTTTTCTTGTATTTCTCCTGTTTCTCAGATTGAAAAGGAGATTCTGAGATCTTCCCATCACTACGGTGAGACAATCGGCTGTGCTCTGATTCACGATTATCCTCATGCAAGTCCATGCCTCCCTGCAATTCAGTTCAAAATGATCGAGACAGATCAGATTGAGACTGGACTGAATATATGCTTCACTCACAATTAATAAGCAGCGCACACACACATCCAAACACACAAATCAGAAAAGGCATGATTGCTATGGCACGGTATGTTTGCAAATTAGATTGTGTGTGAGCCTTCAGCGAATCGTGACATAAAACCAGACACTAAACACTCAAGATGTCTGAGAGGCTTCATCAAGACTGCATCAAGTCACTATCATGTTTGTTGCTCATTAACAACAGCAGCGTGTTATTAATTCTCATCTAGTAATGTGGCTGGGGATACAGTCTAGCCACTAACACATATCATGTATTCAGTCAAAAAATTAAAAACATTACTCTTATTTAGGCATAACTGAGCAAATCTTGAACACTAAGGCATTTAGATAAATAGCTTTGTTTGTGCAAATTAAACTTGTATTATGTATTATTGCATTATGTTCTAACCAGACACTTTCTTATCAAATTACGGCATTTATTGTGTTTGTGAAGTGTAATAGTTGATGAAGATCTTAAGTTGAGTATGAATAAGAAATAACCAAGTGTCACTAAGAACAACGAACCAATTGAGCTGGATAAAAGACAAAAATGAGCTACAGCAGATCTGTTGTGTCATCATAAAATAAGCAAGATTTATGACCCTTTTGTAAGGCTACTGCCAAGTCCTCCTCTTTCTGTCCCCAAACCTGCAGAATCCTGATATCCTTCTGGACACCATCACGATGGAGATTGAGCCTAATGGCATACTAAACACATTCAATTACTGCCTCACCTTTCACCTCCCTCTTTTTTTTTTTTGATAAAATGGTTATGACACCCATTAAGAGGTCCCAGTACATCTTAATTTTTGCAAAAAGAAAAATTCTTTGAAGCTAGTATCAAATATTTAAAGTTGATATCAAAATATCTGCATAAAGGAAATCTTGAGTTTTATAAGGCCTTAATCAAATAAATATCAGCACTATTTGCTACCTGCAGCCTAAAATACTACTACTACTACTACTACTAATAATAATAATAAACAAATCCTTATCAATTAGATCAGAATTAATTAGTAATTGAAATTCTTTTTTTTCTGCCAAGGACCTGTCTTGGCTTTAGGTAAGGAATTCTATGCAAATGTAAAACTAATACAATAGCGTTACTTAAGAGTGTTTTTACACATTCTTTCATTTAGTCTAATGACAAAACTTTTTTAAATTGCCAACGAGGAGCCAATTACACAGTGTTTTGGACATCTATGACACACTGGCATCAAGCACTGAAACCATCTGCACTTGTCAGGCCAGTTTGAATGGAATTAGTAACCATAACAACAACAAATGTCAGTTTGGTTGATATTCCTATAAAACTGACTCAAAGCTGAGTAAATAGGAGCCTAAAGTCATTATATAAAAATATATAGGCTATATTCAGAAATATATAACATAATATTGTGATAAACATACAATAATGGAGACATTATAGTTACTGTTGCCAAATATCATAACAAAAGAGATTTTCGAAGGCAGAAATATAAGTCATTTAACAATATAACAAGTCCAACTACAGGTGTCCTTAAACAATAAAAAAGCGTCAACGTGTCTTCTTTCAAAAAAACAATTTAAGGCTACATCTTAATACGTGTGTGTGTGTGTGTGTGTGTGTATCTTTGCTTCAATTAAGAAGCTGCTAGTGTTTCTTGTTTACTACTGGTTGTTCGTACTTTGTGTTTTCCGAGTGACAAAAACAATAGCAAACGCTGAACGTAAGTTACACTGCAACAACGCGCGTGAAATCATTTTTAAAAGTAACGTTACTTACCAGTTTCTTGCCCTTCTAAGTATCCATATCTATATAGTCAGTTTCTTCATAATGTGGCTCGATTAACGGCTCGCAAACTCGCTAGCCAGCTACATGACGAGATAGCTGGGATTATATCGTGCAACTAGGACAACACACAACACTCTCCTCCGTAGAGACGACGCCAAACGATTAGCAAAACGTTATCCGATACGTTAAAGAGAGGGCGAATGCGGTTGTTTGGTCGTCTGTCCTTTAATCAAGCGTCGTCTGGCGGAGATTGTAGCTTTTGAAAAGGAAAATGTGCTTTACTGAAGGAGTTCGTGAAATCTCTGAACCCACGCCTCGCCTTCTGCTACTGGTGTCATAGGGACGCTTCGCCATGGCAACGTGCGCGCCCCTGTCCGTCACCACTTGTTGAGCACGGCTGATATTACCATAGAAATGGAGCCTATACATATCTATGGATATTACACTGACAGACAGGCGTCAGACGTCGGTAATACTATAAATAGGAGCAAAATCCCGTCAGAAAGATATATATAAAAAGGGAGTTTCGAATCAGATTGGTATTACTATGATAGCACTTAGTGATAACTCTCACATGATAGATAAAATATGCAGTAAATGATGAAAAAAATTATTATAGTTAAAATATAAGTTTCCAGCAGAAACAATGCTAAATGAAAATGATAAAAATAAATATCTAAATAAAATCAAAATAATAAAACTTGTGTCCCATTGATTTATAATAATTTAGATTTAAATATTTTATGTCTTCATAGTAAGAACGAACATGTAAATGACCAAATAAATACTATCTAATATAAATAATATCTAAATATAATATTGAATAAAATATAAAAAAATATGAAACTGACACTTAGCAAAATAAAGTCACATCCAAGTGTCCCGTTGATTTAAAATAATTTTATATTATATACATAAATATTTAGGCATGTGCAAACAATTCTAAATGCAAATGACAAAACAATAATATCTAAATAAAATATAAAATAAAATGCAGTGACATTTAGTATCAGTAATCCAGTGTCATGTCAATAATTTTGCATGCTGGTGGTCCTATCGTTCTTGGTAATATTTATAAGTTTCAATGTTTTAAGAACATGCAAGGAAGGACATTTTGCTTTGCTTTTGTACAATACTGTGGGTCACAATATTGATGTCTAAGCAAAACCTTTTGATAGCCTATGTAGCCTACACAAACGCATAATAGCAACAATGTTTCCCTATATTTCCTTATATTTAGTCATTTGTCTAATCATACCATTATAATAACATAGTGACTTCGCAGCAACATCCTAACTCAGTAGGCTAATGCTTGAGAGGAGGATTTACATAGCATAAATATCTAAATAAAATCAAAATAATAAAACTTGTGTCCCATTGATTTATAATAATTTAGATTTAAATATTTTATGTCTTCATAGTAAGAACGAACATGTAAATGACCAAATAAATACTATCTAATATAAATAATATCTAAATATAATATTGAATAAAATATAAAAAAATATGAAACTGACACTTAGCAAAATAAAGTCACATCCAAGTGTCCCGTTGATTTAAAATAATTGTATATTATATACATAAATATTTAGGCATGTGCAAACAATTCTAAATGCAAATGACAAAACAATAATATCTAAATAAAATATAAAATAAAATGCAGTGACATTTAGTATCAGTAATCCAGTGTCATGTCAATAATTTTGCATGCTGGTGGTCCTATCGTTCTTGGTAATATTTATAAGTTTCAATGTTTTAAGAACATGCAAGGAAGGACATTTTGCTTTGCTTTTGTACAATACTGTGGGTCACAATATTGATGTCTAAGCAAAACCTTTTGATAGCCTATGTAGCCTACACAAACGCATAATAGCAACAATGTTTCCCTATATTTCCTTATATTTAGTCATTTGTCTAATCATACCATTATAATAACATAGTGACTTCGCAGCAACATCCTAACTCAGTAGGCTAATGCTTGAGAGGAGGATTTACATAGCTTTTCAGGTATTTTACATATGATAATCGGATAAATAATAACACAAGGACAGCCTTAGTTTTTTGTAGGATATGTAAACTACATTTCCCATGATTCACGTCTTGATCTGGAGCCAGAGGATAAGCGCCCGAGTGAAGCGCACTGATGGAGGGCGAGCGGCTTTATTATAGATCACCGGGCGCGCGCACTCACTTTAATTTCAAAGGTTGACAGTGACGTCACCGCAGGTCCAAAGAAGTCTATAGAAAGGGAGAGCGCAACATTTCCCAGCCTTCATTCTTCCGCGAGAGGGCAAGTGAGGATTAGGATGGTCATCAGAGTGTATATCGCCTCCTCGTCCGGGTCTGTCGCGGTGAGTAACATGTTTACACCGCGCATTTCAGAGTTGCGTGTTGTAAAACTGGAGACTACCAGAAATGACATCAAACGACACGCTAATTTTTATTCTGTGCTCTGTAATTTTATAATCTATTCTATATAATAGTTATTTAAATATCACATTACGTAGATAATGTAAGAATGTCTTAGATTATAGATTTATATGAATCACTTCACTTGATACATTTATGGCACTCAGTAAGGTTTTTGTGTGCATTGAGTTATATATGAATATGTCAGTAAGAATACATTTTTGGCGTTTATTTTCAAGTAGGCCCGGGCCACTTAATGAACTTAACCCATCCTGGAAAACCCACCCTCTCTTGCATGCGATACCATGGTACAGGGATTGAATCAAATGGCAATATATGGTACTTTTAACATAAACCATGGATCTGATTGTCCATGTTCATGGTATTTACATGGCACTCCAAGAATAATTGTGAATAAAAAAATGTTTAAATAAAAAAGCACACGGTATTACCATGGTATAACTGTGGTACATTTTGTGTGGTACCATCAGGGTATAACTGTGGTACATTTTGGTATTTTACATTTACATTACATTTTGGTGCCAAGTGCACACCTAAAGCTGGGGCTGTTTTCAAGCCACACAGTGCAGAATGTTCTGGATAGATATGACTTATTGTGACTCTAAAATGTATTACATAACCACTGCCAAACTCAGTTCAGATCTATATATTCAGCAATGATTTCTATCAAATGCTTTTCAGTGGTTATTAGATGTGGTTTATGCTGTATTTGAGATAATCCAAAGCTGTTGTCCACCTCGGCGCACTGCAAACAGCCATAAAGCTTAAAGGTTGGACAAAGTGCATGTTTACAGAAAAAGCCAACCCACTGCCAACTCCAATGCCACAATCACTGGCGTGCAGATCAGCTCGGTTTTAATCACTCTGTTACACAGCCTGCAGGGAAAGCACAAGAAATGTCTTGATTCATTCAGAGCTGGGATTATATTTCAGCCTTTTAGCAGGCTGGTCCAGTGACATTGATTTTTAGTTCTTTAAAAGAGGAGATCACAGTCTAGGAGCTCGGATTGGGAGGAAGGAGGGGCGACTATTCATATTTTCCTGTAATGTCATTCATTTGGTGTTTGATGGTTATCAGATGATGTTTGTATAGTGACTCACTGTGTATTTGACACCTTTGATATGGAGATGAAGCATGTGTTTTTGGATGTTAGCAGATAGAGAGGCAAGTACAGTTCAGCACTGTAACCTAGTACCAGAATGAGGTAATAGCCTAAATGAGTTATGCTCCGATTTCCGGTATCTCCTTATTTCTACAAGACCCGGATTGTTTACCCAAAAAGAGCTATTTTTAAGTCTCCATGATCTCAGCACACACTGCTCTCATATAGACACACATCTCTTTTATGCTCACATTCTTCTATGCATGGCAAACAAGATGATCAATACAGAAAGGAAAAATGTAATGTTTCAGTCAATAACTGGAACGTAATGGGTGGAGAGACTTACTGTGTGTGTGTTCACTCAGTTTGCATGTGTTTGTTATATAATTTGTTTTGTCATGTTGATGTGAAGCAAGTGATGGCTGATGGAACCAATCTGTAGTTAAAGACTGTACTTAAAGATTTTAGGATCATATAAGTGAGGGTTAATATTTTTACTTATACAGCTACATAAACACTCTGATTCACATTAGCTCTCCTAAGCTTTGGCCGAGGGGGATTATAAAGGTCATACCCTGACTAACCTTTTCCACTTGTTACACTCATCCACCTCCAACCATTGCACTTTACACATGCATGCGAAGGACTGTGAATGAGAGCACTCACTGAGTGATTTTCAGTCAGCTGAGCTTAGTGGAGAGACAGGTTCTACAGTGATATAGGCCCAGTAATTGAGTGTGCTAAGAAAGTCTGAGCGGTAAGAGTGCATTCAACGCATTGATTCAGAACAGGATGACACACACTCATGGGATTTGTCTTTCTTTTAAAGTGCACTTCGTCTTTTTTACTAAAATTTTAAAAGTTTTACACATGCAAAAATTCTATGTACTTAATGTTTAAAATGATGTACATTCAGATCCAAGTCATATCAGTAGCCTAATATAAGTAATTTGAATGGAGCAGGTCGGCTCGTGATCACATGACAAACCAAATACGGTTTTACCCCTGTCCTGTTACTGGACACCAGTTTTTTTTATTGTTTTGGTAAATGTGATGAAGCTGAAATACAATAAAATATAAATATTAGATTAAAATTAAAACTGAAAAAAAATTAACCATTAGTAATGTTGCCTTGGAAACTAACAATAAATAAGTTGAAGTAGAAGCCACTGGCTTAAGTCACTGATCTATATAATGACTATTCTCTATTATAGATCAGTGTATTAATAGCCTACTAAAATTACTACTAAAACTAAAATTAAAGCTAAATAGAAATAGAAAAAACTAATAAACATGACAAAAGCACATAACAAATTTCTAAAACTTCAATTAAAATGAAAAGAAAACTGAAAATTAATAATAATAATAATAAAACTATATCAAAACATTCATGAATACTGTAATGGCATATACTAATACTAAAATAACACTGATTGGACACTTTTGCTAAATACGTTTGAATAATAATTTAAATTGTAAGCATTTTGTGTGTGTGTGTGTGTGTTTGAAAAATGAAAATCAATCAAACAAAAGTGCTGTCCGAATATGGCTTTGAATCTGCCGTAGTCACGAGGCAGCACGGAATTAGGAAAAACAGCAGAATTATGATATTGCTTTTATACAACAATTCAAGAAAACTTGCGACCATAGTTGCTTTTGGGAAACGCACCCCTGCTTGCTAGTTCATTCCATAATGCAGAAAATAATCCGCGTTTTTGAACGAATCGGTTGAACGAATGATTCAATGACTCGATCATAAAGACAGCTTACTTGTTTCCTTTCTGAACGAATCAGCGTCATTGAACGAATCGGTTGAATGAAGAAACGAGACACTCAAAAAGACAGTCACTTTTCGCCACCTACTGGTGGAATGATGTAACTTAATGATAGACAGTATTTAGAGAAATCTTATCTAACAGGTTATTGCAGACAAAGAGAAGAGGAGTTCTTGAAACGAATCATATAGACAGAGAATGTCTATGTATTCAGTATTTTGTTTTGAGAATAAAACAATAGCTGCATTGTGTGGCCGCTCGGGTTCGACACAAGGCTAGAGCTGCTATTGTCCTGCTCTCTGTTTATCAGGGCAGGAATTTTATAGAGCTTTTAAAAAGCACAGACAGAGCTTAGTGTTTAATGGAGAGCTGCTCTACCTTTACAAAGTATCTGACTCTATTTCTTGCAGTCAAACATGCACATATATAGGCCTATGTATGTGAGAGATATGTGATTCACTCATCAGTGCATCACTGAGTATGAATCTTTATTCAGTTGTAAACTGTCCTGTTACTGGACACCAGTTTTTTTTTATTGTTTTGGTAAATGTGATGAAGCTGAAATACAATAAAATATAAATATTAGATTAAAATTAAAACTGAAAAAAAATTAACCATTAGTAATGTTGCCTTGGAAACTAACAATAAATAAGTTGAAGTAGAAGCCACTGGCTTAAGTCACTGATCTATATAATGACTATTCTCTATTATAGATCAGTGTATTAATAGCCTACTAAAATTACTACTAAAACTAAAATTAAAGCTAAATAGAAATAGAAAAAACTAATAAACATGACAAAAGCACATAACAAATTTCTAAAACTTCAATTAAAATGAAAAGAAAACTGAAAATTAATAATAATAATAATAAAACTATATCAAAACATTAATGAATACTGTAATGGCATATACTAATACTAAAATAACACTGATTGGACACTTTTGCTAAATACGTTTGAATAATAATTTAAATTGTAAGCATTTTGTGTGTGTGTGTGTGTGTTTGAAAAATGAAAATCAATCAAACAAAAGTGCTGTCCGAATATGGCTTTGAATCTGCCGTAGTCACGAGGCAGCACGGAATTAGGAAAAACAGCAGAATTATGATATTGCTTTTATACAACAATTCAAGAAAACTTGCGACCATAGTTGCTTTTGGGAAATGCACCCCTGCTTGCTAGTTCATTCCATAATGCAGAAAATAATCCGCGTTTTTGAACGAATCGGTTGAACGAATGATTCAATGACTCAATCATAAAGACAGCTTACTTGTTTCCTTTCTGAACGAATCAGCGTCATTGAACGAATCGGTTGAATGAAGAAACGAGACACTCAAAAAGACAGTCACTTTTCGCCACCTACTGGTGGAATGATGTAACTTAATGATAGACAGTATTTAGAGAAATCTTATCTAACAGGTTATTGCAGACAAAGAGAAGAGGAGTTCTTGAAACGAATCATATAGACAGAGAATGTCTATGTATTCAGTATTTTGTTTTGAGAATAAAACAATAGCTGCATTGTGTGGCCGCTCGGGTTCGACACAAGGCTAGAGCTGCTATTGTCCTGCTCTCTGTTTATCAGGGCAGGAATTTTATAGAGCTTTTAAAAAGCACAGACAGAGCTTAGTGTTTAATGGAGAGCTGCTCTACCTTTACAAAGTATCTGACTCTCTTTCTTGCAGTCAAACATGCACATATATAGGCCTATGTATGTGAGAGATATGTGATTCACTCATCAGTGCATCACTGAGTATGAATCTTTATTCAGTTGTGCTTTCTATGTGCACAAGTGTGTGTATGTGTGTGTGTTTAGTGACAGAATTCATCTGAACAGCTCTGCATGCAGTGGCCGCCCAGCAACTCGCTCTGCAAAGTCAGCAGAGAGAGAGAGACAAAGATCGGCAAGGCGAGGTGAGGTAAGGCAGGGGACTTTTTGTACTCCATCTGTCCTCCTCCACAATGTGGATATGTCCAAAAACACTCTCTCTGGACAACACACTGTAGTACTGCCAAACTAGGGTGTGTAGGTGTGTGTGTTTTTGTAAGTCACACCCTCTCAAACAGCTGTTGACACCAGGCCTCATTGTAGTTAGCCAGACTGAAGAAGTGTCAGTCCTGGAGCCTGTTGAGGCATAATGCATGCATATCATCAGCTAAAGGTATACATATAGCTAATCCATCAGATTAAGTGTGTGTTTATGTGTGTGTGGTGTTTAATAGTTTAAAGATTTAAGGTTGTACGCACACATTTTTATCTTAAAGGGATAGTTCAACCATAAATGAACATTCTGTCATCGACACAATGTTTTATTGATATACTGTAGACAAATCATTCAGAGTTTCTGTTTTATTTTAAATGTAATTAATTAATTAATTTTTCATTTTTATTAGTTTTTTAATATGTCTAAGTAGTTTTTTATATTGTATTTTATTTAGGTTAACGTTTCTTTTATTTCAAGTAATGAATTTTTTTATGGTTTTAGTTCATGAAAACCCTGTTACTTAACCTCATGATGTTCCAAATCTGTATTCTTTCTTCCGTGAAACACAAAAGGTGATTTTTTTTATTTTTAAAGAATATTATATTTTCATGTAATGAAAGGTTTTGAAACAATTGTAAATTATGACAGAATTAACCCTCATTTTCTTAGCTTTTTATAGGCTACATTGTTCAGACCTGATTTTTCTAGTTAAAATGTGAAAATGTGTTCCACTTTTATAGTTAAAACTGAAGCATCAATTAAGTCTACTGTGTTTTGTTTTTTTAGGAAGGTGTTTATAAAAGGAATGTTATCCTTTTAGAAGTGTTTTCATTCTGTGTGCCACTTCTTAATGCATTCATTAACTACAAGTGCTGGGAATTTAAAGAAAGACATGTTTATGCTTTGGAAAGTCTACTTCGCTTGGCATTGTTGCACTGGAATGGAACTATTGAGTTTTCAAACAGTACAACGGAGAGCTGAGTGCAGAGGGTGACAGACAGGTGGGTAAGATGTGTAAAAAGTAAAAAAAGTCAAATGTTTATTTAATGTTAATATATGGAAGGATTTAGAAACACAGGACGCCAGAACAAGAACAGATGTTAAATAACCTTTTTGACCACACAAATGGACACTCATAAGCACAATGAAACATACACACACAAACACATACACTCATAAATGCTCATATTCACATTTGAGAGTAAACTTTAATAACCTTAATAAAACAGATCATTCATTGTGTGATTCCTCAGGTGAAGAAACGTCAGCAGGCCATCGTGGGCTTTCTGGAGGCCAACCGGATCAGCTTCGAGGAGGTTGACATCACCATGCTGGAGGATCAGAGGCTCTGGATGTACCGGAACATTCCTGAGGAGAAACGACCTGAAAAGGGCAATCCTCTCCCCCCTCAGATCTTCAATGGAGACGAGTACTGCGGCGTGAGTCATCAATTCTTTTAATTAGAAACTAATTCATATGCTTGCTACATCAAACACTGGACTGGTGATGTACCCTCTCCTATTCAAACATGCTCACTTAACTTGTTCAAAGATTAACCAATAATCTTCTACCAGAAGCGAATTTATAGTTAGATACTCGCACATTGGTTATATCTTCATCAATATACCACAGACCTGTAAGATGTCTGAGGGATTTTGCTGAAGTAATACTCTGTTTCTCTCAGACACTTAAATCAATGGTAAGCTAAAAGCTCTCTGTCTGGCCAATGAGTCCACATTGGGTTGGTTTGAGAGGATGTTTATTAAAAATCAATATATGTAAACAAAGATCCATGGTGTAAGCTGTGTGGCACCATTCTCTTTTCCAGCCTATATTCTAGTGTGGTATTTATTATGTTTTGTCTATATATCCAATCACATTAAAGCATGAGATGTCCTATATAAGGTAGTGAAAAGGGTGAAGGCATTTTCATGCCTCTGATTCTTCCAAAAACACATCTTAAAGTTTCAAAAAAGAGATTTTGCAGGCAAAACAAACCCTATTACTCACACTCACACCTACACACACACTTCTTTTTTAAATTAGAGTTGTAGTGTAATATGCCACTGTGACTCTCTTGCCATAAATGGCTGAAGAATCACAAAGACATTTATGAGTTTGAATCTTAATTTAGAAATGATTAATCACTTAACACTTGAGTTATGGTAAGGTTTGTATATTTTGTGAATGACTCATGGAAGTGGCTGGATTTTGCTGAGTGCCCAACCGATCTAATCTCACAATAATCCTGATTACTCTTAGACCCTACCCCCAACATCTCTCGTAGCCAATCAGAACAGCAGATCTGCTTCCTTAACATGTCACAGTGATTTACTGTTCGACACTATTGGAGGGCAAGACACATTTGAACTATCCATGTGTATTTGTAAAAGAATGTATTACCAAGGTGCTTTTGTTTAATATGAATATATATATATATATTCGTATAATATAAATATTATTATATATATATTCATTTCTGGCTTCTAATTTGATTTGAGATTTTGTTAATTGTTATGTTAAATGGCATAATTTATTTAATTTGAATCAGCAGGTTCTCTTGTTTAATTTGATATTTATGGCAGATAAAAATGTCATTATTATATCCAATATCCAAGACAAACAGCACAAAAACACTGAGTTACAGCTGCTAAAAGACTCTCCTCAGTCATTATCATTTTATCATTTTGCAGGATTATGAAGATTTCTTCCAGTCTAAAGAGATGAACACAGTGTTCTCATTCCTCCGTTTGCCCCCTGTAAAGGTACAAACACACTCCTGCTTGTCTTTTAATAAAAAAGGAAAAAATTTTCTTAAAACAATTTTATTTCAGAAGCAAACTTATATTAGATAATAAAACCTGTTTTCAGAAAATATATCTTGAATTTATAAATTTCTCCTATTGGCCATTTATTTTCTTGTTTTTTATGCATTCATTTTGTTAGATTTTTGCTTTAAAACACTATTTGCCAATGGAATAAGAAAAATAAAGCGTATTCAAAATATATTCTATGAAACACATTATGTAATTCTCATAGTGGATGTTTGATTATTAAGATGCTTTTTTTGGTGATATTTTGTTACTGGCTCTACACTGGTTTAATGTGATATTATTATGGATTATAGAATAGGATTAACATCTAACTGAATTAAATTCTGTTCTCTGCAGGACTCTGAATCGTAGACCATGTCATTGATATTTCTAGACTGAAACACTGTGGTTTTGCCTCTTTTTCCTGTGAAGTAACTCTCGTCCCCTGGTCTGAAGCCCTCACTGCCAGCAATGCTTTTGCCAAACACACGCTGCCCTCCAGCCCAGCTTTTCCTAAGAAACTTCTTCTCATTCAAACACACGCACACACAGGGTGATTACATAGGTTTTCTATGGCCAATTAATTATTTATATGCGTTGCTGTTTTGTTTCATTTGTTTTACATGTGTTGTATGAAAAGCCTATTCTGCTTTTTTTAAATTGATTCAGGGATAGCAAGTGAACTTATACCTGTTTGTTTGTGTGCGTAAGACTTACATTGTTAATCTACACAAAGAGAATAATAAGTATGCAAGGCTGCATGTACAAGTCTCTTGTAAGTCGTTCTTTGTTAAGGAACTCAGACAGACGGCCAAAAGGTAATGTAGGGAAACAGCAGAAGAATTTGGTATAATGTTGTCCTTGCTGTAAAAAGAAGTTCAGACCAAAAACCAAAACAGCCTCAAAACAGGAAATAGAATCCTGACCTGAATTAAGATCTCAGCATAACAGCGCTGATCTAAGATCAGTGTTTCCACGACACATAATGGCTCTTCAAAGCTTTTCAGAGTGTAAAACGGGTCCTGAATCAGTATTTGAACACCTTATGCTTTATTAGTGGAATTTCATATCTCATTCCTACAGCCTTTTGTTCCTTCTGCTGGAAAACATGCTGATGAACTCATCTTGTTTGAGGAGGTCTCGTCTTTTCCTCTTTAATTGTCTGTTAAAATGTGTTTTTCTTCTCAGGGGTATGTTAGCATGTAGCATGTAACACACTGTGATGCCTCAACTTTCAGCTCACCCATTTGTGTAGCTTATATAGTGAATTATACAAAGCTGGGGAGATAAGTGTCGGTTTTGTGGAACATGTTTTATATTTACACAGTCTACTTTCTATTTTCTTCTGACAATCTACTGCCATTCTCCCCCAAAACCACCTTAAACAAAACAGACACACTCCCAAACCTACTTTCTCTGCATTTTCATTTACTATTCATTATGATATGCGCTTCTTGCTTCGCTCCTCCCACCCTTTCATTAAATGATTCCACGTGAATAAGCACTACATGTATGTTTACACGCACACACACACACCATTCTCAGGACACAATTATGTTTATGTCACACACACATATAGTCACACATTCTGTAACATTTTATCATTCCTCTCTATATTGATGTATGTATGAAGTTACTGTTGTTTACTCTCATTATCTAAATGAATAATTTAAAAATCAAATTTTTAATAAAGTATATTCAAAAGCTTCTTTAATGGTGGTTTCTTGTGTTTCTCAAGAGAGTCTTGATTTAGGCAAATATTGCATATAAAACAAAATATCAAACCAAGTGGCATTCTATAATTAAAACAAATGATTTGTCTTTATTTTTTTAATATATATATTTAAATCATAAACCGTTTTGCTTAAGCGTGCTGTGCTGGATTAATTGTCCAAATACAGTATAATGTGCGTGTACAACATACTCTAACTTTTTAAAAAGTCCAGTGGAACAGTCCAGATATCCCAGCATGTCTTTGCAAGTGGCAGTTTTGCATTAGCTAGCATAAGAGGCTGATGTAGAGAGTGTGAGAAAATGTTCCTCTATAAATAGATACAGATGTTTTCTTCCCATGAGTTGAATACTAAAAATGGATGGATACAGTGTTCAAATAACAAACATTTTGATACAGGACAAAATTCTTAATTAGAGAGTCCATGACCCCTAGAAGGTCTGCCAATTATTATTTGACTTCAAACTAAATTTGTAAAAAAATTTAAAAAATAAAAATAATATATATATGTATATATATGTATATAAATATGTGTGTGTGTGTGTGTGTGTGTGTTACGTTAATTTCAAAGCTAATTAAGAAGCTAAATAAGCTCATTAAGAAGCTAAAGTTCAGGTAAAACGTGTCTCTCCAAAATTAAAATGAATTAAATAAAATTAAAATGTCCAAGTATTTGACTCCATGTTCAATCAGTGTCTCTATGACTACTAGGGATATAATTAAGAGAAAAGCTCATGGATACTGAACTTAGTCACATTGTTTCAGTTTAATTTAAATCTATCAAATAGTTTATTTTCAATAAATTGTTCGTCTGAATCTCTGCCAGTTTAATGTTTGCATTTGTTGCCATGACCTTTTAATGGGTTAATCAGAATTGTAAAAAATAATTCTACCTACATTTTGCTTTTGATATTTAAATGTGAATACTAATGATAGTGAATACTAATTAAAATATTACAATTTAACTGAAATCAAATTTAGATAGACATCAATTATGATTTTTAAAGATAAGTCATAGCAATGAAGGTCTAATATAACACTACCTGTAAACTATAATTAATAAACTATTAATCTATTGTCATGGGTTTCGAACTTTTAAGAGGAATCGCTGCTCAAAAACGCATCAAGTGGATTAAATGCATCAATAGTGATGAAATTTTAGGTATTTGAGACATTACTGCACTCTAGTGGTCAAATGTGATGAGAGCTACTGTAAACTTGTAGATACAAAATGTAGAAGAGATATGCTTGACAGAACATCTTTTTTTTATTTAATGATGTAAAATATGTACCTTCTTAACATATATAATAGTGCAGTGTGTCTATAGTAGCTCAGAGTTTGAAGAACGCCTCTGGTTTCCCATCCTCCACTGCATCAAAAAACTTCTGATAGTCCTATGAACACAAACACAGATTATAACCAGCTTTATATGGTCTTTACAAATAAAAATATGAGTATGGAAGAATAAGATTTGAACACTTCAAGTGATCATTTTAAAGCATTTACTCAGGCATTACTGGTAAAGTACATCAAGACACAATGCATGTGTGGCAGACTATCACAAGAAACCACTGGTGCATTCCAAGCAGTGGAAACATCTATAGTTGATGGGAGTGTTTGAAAGGGTGTGTTTTAATTTAGAAGAAACTGAACGAGCCTGACAGGTCTACTGTGCCTATATATGAACTCTTTTGTTTCAAGTGTTGTTTGCACAACAAAATTAATAGCATTGACATACACTACAAACACTTACACCCTCTCAGTGACTGACTCAGCGGTTCAACACGCTTGTTGCAAAACCCAAGGAGCGTACTGACACATTGTTCGTTTAGAAGATTTCCATGTTCTGTTTATGCTTTATTACAGGTCATAGTCTGAACTTTATGTGCTTTTCTTAATAACTGCAAAAAGACTTATTCTCAGGAAACGTTTCATTTGTGAATCATGACATAATACTCATAATTAACAGAAAAACTCATGGATAATTAACGTAAGTCACATTATTTGATAGATTTAACACGGTTTAGTGTGTAAAGTAAAATAATTCTAATTAAATGTAATTAATTAAATGTCAGCGAGTCTACCGTTTTTTTTTTTTGTTTGTTTCTTTTGGAATATAAAATCAACGGACCGTTCCTGACTTGATGGTGATTTGATGCAGGTAAAATAGATGCACTATTTCTCTCTTGATCTACAGACCAGTATCAAAAACTAGGCTATAAGATGAGACTCACCCCACAGTATTTGTCTCCATTAAAGACCTGAGGGGGCATCGCTGAGGGGTTTCCCACTTTCTTCCTCATCTCCTCCTTCACGTCAGTGCTTCCTGCGATGTCCACAGCAAAGTACTTGATCTTTTTGGAATCCAGGAACTGGAAAATCTCAGACTGATGTTGCTTTACCTGAAGAAACAGAGATGGAAATCAATGAACCTCTGACAACGCACATTGACCTTTTTTAAAACATGCGACAAGAACAACTAGTTATTTACTTCAATTATGTTGAAATAATGTTTTTCGCCTTCTAAAATGTGTTTTTATCCTTCTGCAGACACAAACATATACACAAAGTGTACTGTTGAGTTAACTTCACTAATCTAATTTGACATAAGATGACTGTCTAGCACAGGGGTCTCCAAACTCGGTCCTCGAGGGCCGGTGTCCTGCAGAGTTTAGCTCCAACTTGCCTCAACACACCTGCCTGAAAGTTTCTAGTATGCCTAATAAGACCTTAATTAGCTGATTCAGTTGAGTTTAATTAGGGTTGGAGCTAAACTCTGCAGGACACCGACACTCCAGGACCAGCATGTTAACACAAAAAAGTAGGTGCACTTAAAAATATGAGTTTATACAGTAGTTGCAAAAAACAAATATCAACTGCCAGACACGTCCAGAGAAATAAAGAGATACACACCTCTCTAGAGCCACTCACGCTGCTGTAATACACCGTAATGGACATCTTCAAACGTGCTATAAGTTTTGTTGAGAATAAAAGTGGCTGCTGAAGTAGACTGGTATTCTGGTATTTCAGTAAGCTGTTTGAACTTTTAAAACCAAAGTAAACTCAGCCAACTCAAGGACCAGGAAAGCAAGTTTTGACAGTTCACCTGACAGCCCCACCTACCATAAGCACAGACTCTCTCTCTCTCTCTCACAAACACACACACACACACATCAAGACGTGTGGCATGCCTAAACTTGCATGGGGGCATTTTATACCGAGTTTGCACAACAAAATGTATATGATAATCATCCTGACACAAGCTGGTTGCAAATATGGCTCATAAAATTCACATTTTAAGATAAACTCTAGTATCATTTGTTCGAAGTTTATTGTTATACAATTTTTTAATTTATAATTTTTAAGTGTGAATGTCAACATACTTTCTGGCGGCACTGTCTATCTAGCAACGCTGCTGAGGAACAAAATTATACACGGAGTAGACAGCACCACCTTGTGGGGGAGTGAGGTGTTTGCGCCATCGCCGTAGATTAAGCAGAAATTTAAGACGGAAGTGTTAAAATGTAGTTGAGCAATATATTTTCTAAATAATAATAAAAACAATAACAATAACACACAATAAGTAAACTACACCGAAAGCCACATGTTCCGCGTGGCTATCCATGCAGGCAGTGAAATGGACACCATCGGGGTCTTTTGCGCTTAAAACAATGTTGTCGGCGCTATGACGTCCTCTTTAACCGCAGTCAGAGGGAAGGTAGGATGAATTTCTGTAATCTCTGAGAGAATCAGTTTTAAATATCCAACATCCTGCCTTTAAAATACTCTAAGATGTATCCTAAGGAATGGATACTAATATATCGATTATATTATGCCTTTATTTCAGAAATCTATCCTCTCATCCATCGCTAATCTACAATGGCCGAGGAAGGGTGAGTGATTGTGTTCTCACATCAGTATGCAATCGCTGCATAACTTAATTTTAATAGAGAACGTGTACTGAATGACTTTATTTAGCGGTTAAACTTTTTACTCACTCTTATGTTTAGAAACCTAATGACTCTTTGTTCTAACCTAATGACTTTTGTGCCAGGTTTGGCTTAATTCAAATTATTCACTGAATATCTTGATAGATTCCTCTTCAATGTACCAGAAAGAGAACATATTGGACTTTCTTCTGCATTTATAAACCTCTATATACACATTTATACTCCTGTGCCACAAAATAAAGTCATACGGCTCTTAAATATTTCTCTAACCTCTAAATTAACTTCATAGCGTTTAAGTTTTACATTAGATAGTGATTTCTTATGGTTACCTCGGCTGTGATGAACTTTGAATCTTTAGTCGGATACCCCTTCACTCTAATCATGAGTGAGACATCCAGTCTGAAAAGCCGCAGGTTGTTACATGCGTGTGTGCACACCTGACTCTTTACATCCCAATAACATCCTCTTGTACAACTGACAGCATCGCTGCCGGAGGTGTGATGGATGTCAACACCGCTCTGCCAGAAGTGCTGAAGACCGCACTCATCCACGACGGTCTGGCCCGTGGTATCCGTGAGGCCGCCAAGGCCCTCGACAAGTAAGAAGTGACTTCTTTAATACTGTAAGATGCTGCTGTGTCTCCGATGATAATTTGGCTCCCTCTACTGAAGTCTCTGAGGATAACTGCCATTCGTTACCCAATTTCTGTCTGAGATGCTGTTGAAGTGATCGGTCATACCTGTTGGAGGAGATTGAATGCTCATGATCTTTCTTTCTGTGTTTGACAGGCGCCAGGCTCATCTTTGCGTCCTGGCAGCAAACTGTGATGAGCCCATGTATGTCAAGCTGGTGGAGGCTCTCTGTGCCGAGCATCAGATCAACCTTATCAAGGTGAGGAAGCTATGAGATGCATCATTATCAGGATTTATGGAAGCTTTATTTCAACCACAGAGTAAAACTGTGCCTCAATACAGTTTGAACTTTATCAAACTCCATTGCGACACTCAGAATTATGAGAAACTCTGAATTCTGTGAGGTTATTTCCACCACAGAAAAAGAAAAATTAATTTGACTTTTTTTTTTTTGCAATCTCATTTCTCACAATTCAGACTCTCAATCAGTATTGCAAGATATAAATTTAAAATTGTGAGAAACTTGTAGTTCTAAGAAGTTGATTGCAAGATGTTATCACTCATTTGAGAAGGGAAATCTGAATTGTGAGAAACTTGCAGTTGCAAAGAAAGTCAGAATTGTGGGACTTTGCAATTACCTTTTATTCTGTGGCAGAAGTAATCTTCCATTGGATTTAAACTGTAACCTATTGCCTGGAATTTGACTTGCAGGTTTTCTTTTCCCAGCCCAGTGGTTTTCAATCCTGCTCCAGGAGACCCACGGCACTGAATATTTTGTATATTTTCTTTATTTAATGCACCTGATTCTGATTGGGTGTTTTAGATAAGAGGGACATGCAAAATATGCAGTGCTCTGGCTCTCCATGACCAGGATTTAAAAAAAACCTGTCCTGGTTGATAAAAAGGTGTTGATAGTGGTAACCAAGCCATATCTGGAGATCTGGTGGTGGGCTCTTGATTTGGACCACCCAGGACATCTTAATAGCCACTGCAATTAGCTAAAGACTATTCTTGTGGCCGGTAACACCCATGTTTGCTTCAGAAAATGTTGATGTAGTTCCTTTTTATTAGCCATTCAATTCTATGAAAACCCTAAATGCAAAGTGTGTTCTCTTGAATATTGCCAAGAACTTTTTATTTGGGACCCATAAGCCTGATTTGAACTGCTTAAAGGTGTAGAGCCATAAAATATAACCGTCTCTGTGCTCTCCTGTAGGTTGATGACAATAAGAAGCTTGGTGAGTGGGTTGGTCTGTGCAAGATCGACAGAGAGGGCAAACCCCGCAAGGTGGTGGGCTGCAGCTGTGTAGTCATTAAGGTGGGTGTCTGACTGTAGTCCTGTTCACACCCAGAGTCTGTTTTTAATTTACTTCGTTACTTCAATCTAGAACCTGATGTGTGGGAGAAGAAATGCCTCAATTTTTACAATTAGTGTTTATTAAAAGAATATTTGGGCTTCAGATTTAGGTTGTTTGAGCCAGGTCGAGTCCAGATGCTGGCTCTCCATGCCCTGTGTTTGGTTTTGATGTCTTGGCTAGATTGAGCGCATGAACACCAGCCTCTTGATCCTGTTTTGATTCTTGAGGTCCCTAGAAGGGCAACAAGCTAAATTTACTGAATAACTGGATGATTTATTTTGTTTCCTTTTGTAATTACAGTAAGAATTGAGTCGGGTCAGTTTTAAAACTGAGTGTTAAAGTTTTAACATGCATCTCATGTATTCATGTCTCCATCTGCAGGACTACGGCAAAGAGTCCCAGGCCAAGGACGTCATTGAGGAGTACTTCAAATCTAAGAAATAAGGCGCCAAATAAAAGATCTTTTGGAAATTATGTAACTTGTTTTGTTTTTTGAAAACGGTACGGAAGTCGTAGCAATTCATGCAAGTTCTGAGTGGAATTCAGAAATGGTAGTTTTGTCTTTCTTAAACCGAGTGAACACTTGTCCAGCATTTTAAGGTGGACTTTGTTAGGGTGTTTACACGATTCAAGTTTGATTTAAATCAAACCAATTCTGGTGCGATTGCTCTGATGGTGCAGTTCATTTGAATAAGCATGAACGCTGCCATCTGAACCTTGGTGCGCACCAAATAGGTGCAGACAAACTCTAGTGTGGTTCGACTGATATAAATGCAGCATGGTCCAAAGACATCCAAATGAACCAAAAACAGGATGTGCCGTATTAAGAGACCCTGAAAATGACAAAAGGCTCCAGCATACCAGTTTTTTCTCCTCATGAATCCAAGTTGACAGTGCAGTCCAGGTGTCGGAACCGCTGTCTATTTACAGCAGATCTCTGTGCGCAACAGAGGAATTCCTGGCATCATTTTGACTCCACACATTTTAGAAGCTCTTAAGTTATAAGCTGGTAAAAATACGGTGAGTACACAAGCACATTTAGCCCAGTCATGGCATTGTTTTGGATGTTCTGCAAGTTTGCAAAATATACCTCCTAAAATCTGGCCAATGAGTGTGTGACCTCATCCTTGTCTTGTTTTGTATCTTTAGGTTCTGAGTTAAAAACGACAGCGTGAAAGCTAAATGAAATTTATTTTTAATTTGGTCCACAAAAAAAACAAAAAAGACTTGTGTACATTAAGTGAAAGCATGCCCAGAGTCTTGTGTTTATGACATGCACTTTACCTATAATATCTATACTCATTTTCCATAAATGTTTGTCATTAAGTTGAAGTTTAAAATGAATGCAACTTTGAGAAAAACAGGAGGTGCATTCCCTGAATAAGATACTCAGCACTACGCCTGCTTATGGCTTTGCAACTATTGGTGAGTCAGGATGAAACTACAGCTTTAAAGTTTCTTTTTTTTCTTTTTTCTGGTGCTGGACTTTTATTTCGCTGTTCTTTCCAACTGTAATGACTTCAACCAAAGTACAAATGTTTCCTCACAAGAAAAAGAAAATCTTTGGATTTCTACAGATGCACCAGTGTTGACAGCAGATTAAATTATTTTTTTTTAAACATTAGAAAATAGAGAACTCAAGAAAATCTCAACTGTTTACATTTTTTATCTACATACATTCTCAAAATAAAAACTGACACACAAAACATCTTATAAGGCACAACAAATTATACAGACTTTTTTTTTGTTGCCAAAAACTTACAAAAAACACAATCAACACAATACCATGTGAAAACACACAGCGTCCTTTAGTGTTTAATCTAGTTACTGTAAAATAATTTACATGTTATGTCTATTCTAAATTATCCTTGATTAGAGTACAGCGCTTGAGTTGTTTAAGTGGAGATGAATTCTACTGTATAGACAGAGATAATGTAATTCCTGTAGATGAGAGGATATATGCGGTTTCAAGACGAAGAACTCACATCATTCAGACATGAAATGCAGTGTGTGTGACGTAAGACCTTAGTAAGCTCTTTACAAGCCTGGTTTGACCATTACAATCCCATTTTCCCTTGTCCTAGTCTGTCCTAGTCTTCTTAAGACAGTGCAGAAATATCTTAAAAGCCAGAGTTTTCTTAATAATCAAACAACAACATAAAAAGAGATTGCAGTGTACTCTTGTTCTTAAATAGTTGTACAAAAAAAGGCCTATGATACAGGTGTCGAGTGTTACAGGTACTCGAATTCCAGTGCTTGATGGAGGGCAAGCAGGTCAGAGTGGCTGGATATCCGCCAGAAGGGCATGTTGTGCTGTGGGGAGAAACAGACTGTGAGTGTGTGTTTGAAAACAGTTGTGCAGAAAATAACATTTGCTTCAGTGCTTAACAGCATTATCCATGCAGGCAAGTTAAGTCACTTTAAGGTTGTCTAATATTATTGTTATAGCTCAACAGTTCTCTTCATTTCCGAAAATGAGGTGAAAAGATCCAACAACCAGATCACTTAGCCAGAAAACTAACAACAACAACCTCTGATTACTCATATTATAGTTCACAACAAGCTACAGAGGGTTTATAAAGAGTTTAGTAAAGCATTTACAAACACTTTTTTTTTCAGATAAAAAAAAAGTAACACTTTACAAAAAAGGTTACATTTGTTAACATAATTATACATTATTTTTTTTAACCATTTTTTTTTTTACAGCATTTATTAATCTAGGTAAATGTTCATTTTAATTACACTACAGGTTATTGTTAATTCATGATTGTCCATAATACATTAAAAAATGTTATTTTTATTTCATTTTAGTGCTGTCAAACGATTAATCGCATCCAAAATAAAAGTTTTTGTTTACAAAATATATGCGTGCAAAAACTTTTATTTTGAATGCGATTAATCGCGATTAATCGTTTTGACAGCACTATTTCATTTATTTTTATTTTTATTAATTTAATGTTGTTTTAATATATGTAGAAATGTAGAATCTATTGCATTAATTAATGTTAACAAATTGAAGTTTATTGTAAAGTGCTATAAGTAAATCTAAATATTATGTATACATTTATATATTAATATTAATTACTAATTTTATATATTGAACGTTATTTACTTTTTTGACTATTAACTAAAATCATTTAGAAATTTCAAATAAACCCTTTACAAATCCTTCAGCTTAACACTAAAATTTTGTGAAATAAAAAATATTTTCGTAAAATGTTTTTTTTTTGTCTGTTCAAAAGTTTGGGGTCTTTAATGTTTTTGAATAAAGTCTCTTGTGCTCACCAAGGTTGGATTTATTTGATCAAAAATACAGTAATTATGATAAAAAATATATTTTAAAATGTAATTTATTTCTGCAATTGCAAAGCTGCATTTTCAGCATCATTACTCTAGTCTTCAGTGTCACATGATCCTTAAGAAATCATAATATGCTGATTTGCTGCTCACGAAACATTTCTTATTATTAATAATATTGAAAACAGTTGTGTTGCTTTATAATTTTTTTGTGGAAACTACAACATCAGGATTCTGTGATAAATAGACAGTTTAAAAAACTGCATTTATTTGAAACGGATATCTTTTTCAACAATGTATATATTAAATCTTTACTGTCACCTTTGATCAATTTAATGCATCCTTGCTGAATAAAAATTCACTGAGCCCAAACATTTGAACAGTAGTGTACACGAAGACTCATCATTCCACAAACTTTGTTTAGAAATGCTGCAACAGTGGTTTCCTAGAGCAAAAGTATTCAACTGGGTCTTCAGGTTCAGCATCTCAGCAGATCATCTACAGGAGGTTTACTTGACCAATCTCAGACCACAGGAAGCTATGGGATGCGATTAGATGCCTGAGACCTTAGAGAACCTCAGTTGAATAGCTCTGTTCTAGATCGCTTGGGATCTGAGAAAGAAAAGCTGGTCTCAGATGATCAGAGGGAAAAAGCAACCGCTACAGACATCCACATTTAAACTACAGATGAGGAAATAAATGAAGCACACAAGCTGCCGATCAGTTTCATCTAAAGCTCTAAAGCACACACAGGCAGGAAGTCCAATCTGAGAAGTCACACACTGCTTCTGGTTCACCTGCGGGTCGTTACCTTGGCAGCGGCCTGCTCCTCTTCTACACCATCCCCAATTACAACATACACTACCTTCCTGCCAAACTTCTGCATTACGCGCTCAAAGCAACTCTCTTTGCCTGCAACATAAACAAGGTGACAGGTCAGAGGCTTGGGGTCAGAGGTGAGATTTTACCTGGCTGGCTGCATGCTCCTCATCGCGCCCATCGCCAATCACAACATACGTTATGTTAGTGCCAAACCTGGATACTATACGTTCAAAACAGCTCTCTTTACCTGCGAAAACAAGGCATAGACATAAACCTTAACAAGCTCAGAACACATTCGCTTTACTCATGGGATGAACAAGCTGCATGATTATTGTGTACGTGGTTGAGTATGATTATTTGAGATCAGGAAGAAAAAGAGACGCTCTTTTTCCATTTGAAGCGTGAATTCAATAGCATGACTTCACAACGACAGTCGCTCTTGTACACGGACAAACCCTGACCTCCCAAAGATTGTGTTCTTGCTGTTACCATGACAATGAGCATGGGTTCTGTAACTGTGTGGAATCGGGCTTTGGGTCAACAAGACAACTCAGCATTTTGGAGAAGTCACACAAGACTGATTAGATTTAAAACATAAGCCCAATTTAGATGGTAATTGTTTCTAATGGGGGCAACTGTAAAAGTACATTTGCATGGCACCTCAGTGATAAAACTCATGCTTTCAGATGGTTGTCACATGATTGTCTGCTGCAAACAAAATGTTTATTATTGCTTGGACAATTCATAAATTCATATTTAATTTAATAATAGGAAACATTTACACGCTATGGTTTAAATGGATTTGCATTTTATCTCTGAAAATAAAATTATTAGTTGTGCAAGCCCTAATTTATATAAACGTATATATAATAAACAGTTAAAAAAAATTATCAAATGCCATAATAATGGCCCATTTCAAATGCCTACGTGATTTTGTTTTCTTTTTTCTTTTTCTTCTTGTTCTCTTTTTCTTGATCCACTCACTGTAGCAGATCAATGACGTAATATTATTCTAGTAAACTAGTATTATTCAGCATTATAGCAATACCATACAGTGCTTGGCAGTGTTTAAAAAATACATATACAAAACAACTCCGAGATGTGGAGAACACTGACATTTTGGATTTGGATGGCAATAAAATCCTCAACTAGCTCCTGCAAATGTTGAATATACCTTATGTCCCCATGAGAAACAATTACCATTTAAATAGGGCTTTCTATCCATCTATCTATCTATCTATTATTTTTATTATTATTATTTTTAATAAATGTGTGTAGTGTAGTAACATACAAAGAAAAAAAAATAAAAATAAAATTTGGATTGTATTTTATGGAAAAATAATTAAAATATATTAAAAATAAAGTAAACTGTAAAAATAACATTTAGCTTTTAAATTTAATTTAATCATTAAATTTTGTTTTAATTAAATTGTGTAGTGGTAACATATGAAAAAATGTATTAATATTATTTGGATTTTAAAAAATTAAACAAAATTGAATTAAATTTATACTTATTTCTTCCATTTTCTTATATTTTCTTTATTTAATTTAAATTCCTTGTTATATATTTTTAGTTTTAGTATTATTTAGTTTTAGTAGCTATAGTTATAGAATCACTTGACGAACCAATTCACATCGCCAGAGTTCAAGTTTACATTTAAAACAAGAGATCAGCCAATCAGAATCAATTCCACATGATCAGACAGAGAGTGAATGTGAACTTTATGACCAGGTCATCCTGATGTGTTTTGATTTATGATTTAATGCAATAATGTGAGCCAAAGCATGTTCCACACAGACTGAACTCTAAATTACCCTTGATTGCCAAAATGAAATGAAATGGAAATAAACAGTTCGACACAATTTACATGATGAACTCAAGGCAAAGTCTGCTTTATGGACCTGTATCTGAACTCACCTATTTTGGTTGCGCTGTAAATGTTTTCAATAGGAAACACTGAGCCCAGGCTATACAACAGCACCTTAGCCAGCGCAGGTATTAACTGTGTCGTTGTCACCAAGACATTAACACAGTTACTCCTGTGTGAGAGAGACAGAGATTGTGATTTTTTTGCTGTGTAAGGTATAGTCCTCAATGACAAAGGTTGATGATGCATGAAGAGACAGACCTTGAGCTGATGATTGACAGGGACTTGAGCGCACTGGTCAGCCAGGAGTCTGTGAGAGCCTCAACTTCTGCCCTCAGTTGGAGCCACGCCTCCCTCTTAGCCGGTCCCAGCAACCCTGAAATAGAGCAAAAACAAAATGCCACAATCATAAATAGAGCGTATATTATGGCATGAAACTGGGGTTTCTAATGGGCACAATCTTAAAAAAAAAAAAACAGATCACACTGCATTGTGGGACCCCACAATAGCAGAATACTCATAAGCCCTCATGCTATAGAGTCATTTAATTAAGTTAATTTGTGCAATTCATTATACCTATGGAATAGTGTTGTTATTGTTCATTAAAATCAAATCTAACACTAAAACGAAATCTATTAAAAAGGTAAATAAAAATGAGAAATGTGTCTTGGCAACTAACTAAAAAAAAATAAGTTGAAGTTGAATTACTAAAACTGAAATAATAAATTAAAGCTAAATAAAAATATTAAAAAACAAAAACAAATAAAAATAACCAAAGTACAACAAAAGTACTAAAAATGAAAACAAAAAACTGAAAATAAAAATAAAAGCTAATTCTAAATCAAATAAATACTATAATAGTGTGTATAAATAATATTTAGATATTTAGAGTTAATCCTGTAAAAATATTTCAACTTGTGATCAGATCTTACCTCCCACATTGTTTTTGTAAGTGCAGTACAACTCTTTGACTCTTCTGTATCGGAAAGCTAACTTCCTCATCCAGTCGACTCCGCCCCTAACACCTGTTGCTAGGCAGAGACTTGCGCTTGTTGCAGCTGCATGGAAGCCATCAGTGGCAAAACTGTAAGTACTGTTGATAATAACAATAACAATCTTGTTTTACATACAAGTAAAATACATATTCAGTCATATTTTAGGACATATTTTAAGACTTTATTTTTGTTACAGCTACATGAGTAATGGGTGTCTTCAAAAGAATAGTTTGAAATCAAAGTTTAAATACTGCTAAATCAATCAAATCATTCAGATGATAAACTCACCTAAGGTCCTGTCCGTTATCATCTGAAGAGGCGTCATCAATGTGCACCTGGTCACACTCCTGTCGAAACATAGTGGGTTACTACTGTTAACCAGCAGGGGGCCACACAGTCACATAAACACACTCTGACTGGGAAAAAAAACTGAGGAAACAATTAAGACAAAGGAAGACAAGAGGAGAGCGGTTTGCTTACCTCTAAATCATTAAAAAATAGATGTGTATCAGCAAGATTGAAGATCATCTCCTCCATTCTTAAACCAAGAGTCACAGCCAAAGGGGCGTCCTGAGAATTCAAATGTTAATTATTAGGATATTTTTACTTGACAACTATCATCACCAATAACAAACCTAACAAACATAGTTCAAATTTTAGGCGAGTTTGCAGTGGAGACATTTTGCTGTTGTCGGGACACTCCGTATTTGTCTTTGTTTATTTTATTTTATAAAAAAAAACAAAAAAACATTTTAAGGCATCATAGACACTCCTGATGCAAAGGCTGTTCCAAAATTATGGTAAATCCATCATGTTTGGCCAAATTTTAAGACAGCTTTGAATGTATTGCAGAGAAGGCAATCCCAGAATGCACTGCAACAAGCTCAGCTCAGTACAACGTTTTATCTAGATGGCAAATGGAGCCATAGTCTGTGTAAAGGCGGCTATAACCGTAAATGATTAAATATATGCAAAGAACAAGTTAAGACAGAACATAACCTTAATATGCAAATTAAGCATATTATATATATATATATATATATATATATATATAAATCCAGTATGCAAAAATGATGCTGACATCATTGCAGCGAGTTACATGAAAGCTGAAAATTCACTGTAGGTCAATGAAAGAAGAACTAATAACATAAGAACTTTAATTTTAACCCTCATAATGCATTTGGATTTCAAAAGACACAATAAAAATAATAATAATAGTTTTTAGTACAGCAACCAAACTCTAAATGTGCCAAGACTTAATCAAAAAATCTAAATGAGAACAAACCCTAACCAGAATGTTTTAGGAATGTCAATAAAATCAGTGATTATTAAGAGTGCAGGTTGTATTGTGATTAATTCTGCAGTTTTGGCTTGATATGAATATTTCACATGCACATTTTGCTCAGTAAATAAAATGTTCCATGTTTCCATCAAATGATGACAGATACTACACTTGTCTCAGATCATCAGATGCTCTCACCCTTCAAACTACACACACACACACACACACACACACACACACACACTCACACACACAGCATCTGAAGAGGCGTCATCAATGTGCACTTGGTCACACTCCTATCCAAACACAGTGGGGTTACTATTGTTAACCAGCAGGGGGCCACACAGTCACATAAACACACTCTGACTGGAAAAAGACTGAGGAAACAATTAAGGCAAAGCGGACAAGAGGAGAGCTGTTTGCTTACCTCTAAATCGTTAAAAAATAGATGTGTATCGGCAAGATTGAAGATCATCTCCTCCATTCTTAAACCAAGAGTCACAGCCAAAGGAGGGTCCTGAGAATTCAAATGATAATTGTTAGGATATTTTTATTTGACAACTATCATCATAATCACCAATAACAAACCTAACATAGTTAAACATTTTCGCAACTGTTGTTTGGACACATTTTTTTTTTTACATTTTAAGGCATCATGGAAACTCCTAATGCAGAGGCTATTCCAGAATTGTGGTAAATCCATTATGTCTGGCCATATTTTAAGACAGCTTTGAATGTATTGCAGAGAAGGCAATCCCAGAATGCACTGCGACAAGCTCAGTAAAAATATTTCATCTAGATGGCAAATGGAGCCATAGTCAGTGTAAAGGCGGCTATAACCGTAAATGATTAAATATATGCAAAGAACAAGTTAAGACAGAACATAACCTTAATATGCAAATTAAGCATATTATATATATATATATATATATATATATATATAAATCCAGTATGCAAAAATGATGCTGACATCATTGCAGCGAGTTACATGAAAGCTGAAAATTCACTGTAGGTCAATGAAAGAAGAACTAATAACATAAGAACTTTAATTTTAACCCTCATAATGCATTTGGATTTCAAAAGACACAATAAAAATAATAATAATAGTTTTTAGTACAGCAACCAAACTCTAAATGTGCCAAGACTTAATCAAAAAATCTAAATGAGAACAAACCCTAACCAGAATGTTTTAGGAATGTCAATAAAATCAGTGATTATTAAGAGTGCAGGTTGTATTGTGATTAATTCTGCAGTTTTGGCTTGATATGAATATTTCACATGCACATTTTGCTCAGTAAATAAAATGTTCCATGTTTCCATCAAATGATGACAGATACTACACTTGTCTCAGATCATCAGATGCTCTCACCCTTCAAACTACACACACACACACACACACACACACACACACACACTCACACGTGATGGAGTTTGTTGGCTCAGAGGTGATTGGCTGAGACAGTGAACGAGAATAGAAAAGCACACACACACACAAAGTTAATGGCGAAACTGACAGAGATTGGAAATGATGATTCAACTGTTTGAAAATGTTTAAACTTAATCTAAGCATATGTTAAAAAATAATTGAGGCAATTTTTTTTCAATCAAAATAAACAATTCAAGACATACTGGCGTAGAGCTGCTTTTCCCCACTTTTGAACTCTGATGTTTGGTAATTTCACAATCGTTGCAGTGATTAATCTATAGATCGGTGTGTGCTGGCGCTTGAGCTTGACAGCATGTGCAATGTCTCTGACGAGAGTGCTTAAGAACGGAGGGTTTTCATCGTCACAGAGCCTGCAGAAATAGCCCCAGAGCCGTGAATAGCCGCAGCTGTCTCTATGTCTCTCACCAACTGAATGACAAGAAATGAGGGAAGGTGTCAGAAGAAGACTGACGCTTCACACTCCTTGAGTCTGGCCATCACAGTGCTGAATCTAACAACTCTGCTCTTCTGCGCTCTGCCTATGATAGAAGCGCACAGTTGTGGGAGTCATAATATTGGGTCAAGATTCAAAATTTACTATCGCATTCTGGAGATATACACAAAAAAATGTTTTTTCAAAGTTGTCAGCAAAACAAAGATTCTTGGAGTCTGTTTTACAAAAAAAATGCTACTTTAAAATGTCATGATTGATTCAATGTGTAACTTGTAATTTCTTTGTAATTATTTGTGAAATTTACTTTGAATTTCTGAGTGAAAATTGTACATAGTAAAACCTACACCTTTTGTACCGGGTATGTGTTGGCATTTTTGAGAAAAAAAAAACCTGTGCACTTACATGCACTTCTAAATGTTGCTAATTTGCAGAAGTCAGCTCATTATAAAAACCAAATTATAGAATAAAACTGAACTGACATGACACTTAAAATCAAGGTTTTTATGTCAAACTAAACCAACATGCAACACTGATTAGGCCACCAGAACACTGTTTAAGTAAAGCCACATTGGCAGAAAGAACTCAGGGTAACAGGCAAATTTGTGCATGCCGATCAGATTTGCTTAAACTATTTATGATATTTATTATCAGATAAAACCATTTAAAGGTCATTTACATGACCTTACACATCGGCTTACTAAGAATAACCAGGAATCACAGGAAGATGCTCACTGTTACTACAGTTGAAGGAAGTGTTTAATATGTGTGCATAGTACGTGTGTTTGCTCTCACCTTGCCGTACTTCTGTGCATAGGAGCCTGTGAGGAGTGAGTGAAACACAATAATGGTCTCATCCAGATCCCAAACAAACACTCTCTGTAAAAACATGCAAACACATGTTTGATCTCAGTAAACAAACAGTGATGACAGAGGGATTAGGTAGTGAAGAGTATGATTACATTAGATGATGTGAGCATCTGCTTCAACTGTGTGTGCATTTATGAGGTTTGCATCTATCTGTACATACCTCAAGGTCACTGTCAGGTGGTGGGGAGGGGTTGTTCTTTCTGCCCCGCCCTCTTGTTTTAGCCCCACCCCCTCGGCATGCCCGGTCCTCCATCTCCTTGATCGGCGTGGATGGGCTCTGCCCTGCCTCAAATTCACCTGTATATGGGAAACAAGAAACATTTATGACACACATCAAAGCTTTTAAAAGCTTGCTCATTGGCTTAAATATGCATGTTTCTGCCACAATCATAAACCTTTCAGCTGAGCTACAAAAATTCAACCTGATACTTTAGAAGTCCTGTAAATCAAATAAATAAATATAATGCTTTGCTGTCACAGTTTTTCTTTTTAATCAGGAAACATATATGTGGATCTAAAATGGCAACGTTTATGTTTGTACATTCTCATGTCTGTTTTTTTTTTAAAAAAAAAACAACAACAACATGTTTTTAAAAAAGTATTGAAAGTGGGAAAGTGGCACATCTGATAGAACATAATCTTTGTGTGTCTATGCGTGTGAGCAAATTTACTGTAATGAGCTCTGTTGTACTGCAGCCAAGATAAATCACTGAGAAATGCAGCTTTAGGACCCCACTAAATTTTGGGCCTGCTGGACAAAACCCGCAATCACCATCACTCTACTAACATAATCAACAACTACAGCACATGATACCTTTGTGCCAAAGGCCGTGTAAAAGAACATTCTAACATCCATTCTAACTTTCAACTACATCATTTGTTGCTTTATTGGAATGATTAACTTTAAACTACAATGGCAATGATCCAATTTTTGACAGATAACAGACAACAGTAGAGATGTTTGAGGTAAAACTAGATTTTTACACTTTCTGAAGAAAACTGCCTGTGCAAAAGTTGCTTCCATGATGCTAGGGGTTTTTGCCAGATTCAAAACTAGGTGTTTTGGGGAGTTTTTAGATCATTGCTATGCTGTTGCTAGGATGGTCTGGGTGGCTGCTGATAGTGCTTACCTGGATTCAGGTCAGCCGATTGTCCTGTCATGACGGGGGTGGAGTCTTGCAGCTGATAGGTGGAGACTGAACTTGTGCCATCCAATGAGCTGTTAGATGTCATGTAGGAGCCGTAGGAGGAGGTGGAGTAATACTGAGCATACTGATTCTGCCCAAAAGTTGTATAGGTGGGATATTCTTGCTAGGAACAAACAAAATTAAAATGATAAATAATATTTTATTTATTCATTGAGTACAAATCTGAGTCCAACCCAAACCGAAAACTGTCCTTAAAGCAGACAGGGCATTTTTAAGTGAGGTCGATGCAAGTTGTTATGTGTTAAAAATGTATATGATGCAATTACATATAAATATAATAATTTTTTTGTTGAATAAAACATTGGTTTGATGTCACCTTTTACATTTTTGCCTGTTGCTTTTATAATGTTTAAATGTTGCTGAAAAGCCTTTAATAGGCTGTTTAATGGCAAGTTTCATTGTGACAACCCCATACTGGTGTGATGAGTTTGAAGCCCGCTATTTGGGCATGTTGTCAAAAAACGTTTATGTATGTTCAATGAACTCTTTTTCTTGATCAGTAACGGTGGAAATAATCAACAGCTTTTTTGTAGCAATGTACAGTAAATCTACCCCAAGAAATAAACACTGGAGTGTGACAACTAGCCCCGCTTCCCTCTATAATTCAGTGAAATGTGGAAAGAATATAGGTTTTATGTTCTTCTTGAATAAAAAAGAGAGAGGGAGTTTATCAGGGGAATAATAAAGAGAAAAAAAGATAAATAGGACTGGAACATACAGATTTCTGGCCCATCCACACAGAGCTTTTTATCACTCCCTGACTTCTCTTGTATCTTTGAGAGAGTTTTACATGCGCAGACACAGACGGATCTCTTACGGGAGATGACTCTAAAACTGTCATTGACTCACTCGCTCAAGAACATGAGCGCTGCAGTAAAATGCTCTCAGCGAAACTCCACTACTGCTTTCACTCTCTCATTTCATCCTAATTCCGCTTACTCCTTCATTTCAACCATCGCCAGAACCTCACTTTGTTTACACAGCTAAATTCATCAGTGGGAGTCTAAGTGTAGTTGGGTCCTTTTCTTTGGCAGCACTTTTAATCATAAAAGTTTAGGGAAACATTAAGTCCTAAAAGCATAAATTCTCTCAGATGAAGGATGGTGATCTGTTCTCTGAGGCCAGGGCTGTTTAAAAAAGACTGTCAGTCCTTTGCTGAACTCTGACGTTATTGGTGCATGTGTGTGTTCATCTGTGCACGTGTGACTGTACCTGTTGTGTGGTGAAGTTGCCTGGATTGGAGTTGTTGGATGTGTAGAGACCAGGAGAGGTTGTGAAACCTGACCCTGCTGATGGAGAGAAAAGCCAGTGTTAGTCAACCACTAACAGATCTCACGAAAAAGTAAAATGGCCAAATAGTAAAAACACAAAAGCGAAAATACTATCCTTAATTACTATCATAATGTTCAAAACCTGTATGCTGTTATTTTTTCTGCAGTACACAAAGGCACACAGACATTTTTTTTTTTTTAAGAATTCAATCCATACAACCACAGTTTATAGGAACCAAAGGCTGTCAAGCATCAAATAGGACAGGACAATGCAGAAAATGCATCATAAAAGTTGGCCAGCCTTATTGTGCAATATATTCCAAGTCTATTTTAGTATTATTTATACTTTATTTTAGTTTTTATTCATATTTTTAATTAGCTTTTGTTATATGGTTTTGTCATTTTTATTAGTTTTTGTTCTTTTTAAATTGTATTATTTGGGCATAATTTTTTTTCATAATTTTTTCAGTTTTAGTTTTTATCTAATTCCAGTTAGTAATTTTAGTGCTGCAATTTAAACTTATTTAGTTTACTTAGTTTTCAAGGCAGCATTTCTAATTTTTGTTAAGTTTAAAGGCAGAGTAAGTGATTTTTCAAAAACACTTTAGAAAACTGATTTGGGCCGAATCGCAAAACATACTTGTAGCCAATCAGCAATAAGGGGCTCGTGATGTGGAGGAGAGCGCGTTCAGTGCATGGGACGGACATTAGCCGAGCCGAGCGACAGAAAGATAGAGATGGCGGATAAAAAACAAAAGAGGAAAACGTCTGCGGAACAATAAGGCAAGAAGTAGGACCCGTGTAAATATCGGATCAGCTTTCCAGCGCTGGAGAGAACTCAAGGAGCGGAGGCCTGCGATCGGACACCGAGGTTGCTTTGTTTCTTCTCAATACGTGAGTAACACCGTGTCTACAACAGCTAAAGTCTGACTACACTGGACGCGATCAA